GAGGAAACAGTGATAGCAATCTCCGAAGGATTCAAGTAGTCGGCATTAAGCCCAAAATATGGCAATAAGCCCAAATCATGATGATAAACAGAACAGCTCAGTCAAATACGCGGTAAAATATCAAACGGGACGGACCAAGTCACGATCCCCAGTAGTAATCAACCCCGCGCTCGCCATTAAGCGCGTGTTTCACCTCACTATAGCACTACGTTGTGCAAATCCGGGGTTTCAAACCCTCAGGATATCATTTACTATCATTACTCACCTCATGCCGGCCAAAATCCTAGCTCGCTATGCCCTTGCCTCGCAAATCGACCTCCTCGCGCGTCGAATCTGATCAAAACCACAATGAATACGTTTTAATAGGCTAAGGGAACATAACCCAATCGAAAAGACTCGAAAAATATCGAAATTCACGAAATTTGCAAAACCCGAGCCCCGGGCCCACTTCTCGAAAATCAGAAAATTTAACATCATCGGATTCCTTATCTCGCCACGAGTCTATACATACCAAAATCTCCCAAATCCGAGCCCAAATGACCCATCAGATCCCACTTTGAAATATCAAATTCCAAGCCCTAGCTTTTTCCCCTTTTGATGAATTTTTCATAAATTTCTATGTTAATTCTACCATTAAATCATGTATTTAGGTCATAGAACTCACCTCCAATCACACCCAGTCGAAATCACCTTCAATTCTCGTCCAAAAGCTCTCAAGGTTGCTCAAAAATGGTGGAAATAAACCTTAGCTCGCGGAACAAAATGAGCTTTTAAAACCCTTCTCTGATCAGTCATTTTCGCATCTGCGATAAATGAACCGCACCTGCGGTTACCGCTTCTGCGGTCAAGCCTCCGCTTCTGCCGAACCTCCCTTGCATGCACGGACCGCTTCTGCGGTCATTAACCGCATCTGCGGAGACCGCACCTGCGGAAATCATCCGCTTCTGCGGAATTTCTCCAAATGGCCAACACCCGCACCTGCGATCCCTTATTCCCATCTGCGGCCCCTTTTCCGCAGATGCGGAAATACCAGATACCAGCAATCTTCAGAAATGCATCAAGTCCAAAATTCATCCCGATGGCCATCCGAAATCACCCCGAGGCCCCCGGGTCCTCAACCAAAAGTGCCAACCCATCCTAAAACATCATTCAAACTTGCTCCAATCATCACAACACCACAAACAACACCAAAACTATCAAATTACATCGGATTCAAGCCTAAGTTCTTCTAAAACTTCCGAATTACGCATTTGATCAAAAACCCGACCAAAACACCTCCGAATGACCTGAAATTTTGCACACACATCCCAAATCACTAAACGAAGCCACAACAACTCTCAGTATTCCATTCCGACCCTCGGATCAAAATTTCACCTATCAATCGGAATTCGCCAAAATACCAACTTCGCCAATTCAAGCCTAATTCTACACCGGACCTCCAAAATCAATTCCGATCACACTCCTAAGTCACAAATCATCCCCCGAAGCTAACCGAAACACCGGAAATCACATCCGAACCCTCTAACTCATAAGTCAATATCCGGTTGACTTTTTCCAAAACAAACCTTCCTTAAAATGACTAAGTGTCTCATTTCCTTCTAAAACCAATCCAATTCGATTCATTCACCCAAGACTCTTATAATGAAACATAAGGAAGCAGAAATGGGGAAAACGGGGCGGTAACTCACGTGACGACGGGCCGGGTCGTCATAACAACGTAACTTTTTAATATCTAAAATTCTTTCACAACATACAACATACATGTTGCATATAAAATTTTTATTTTATACAAATCCTGTGAAAATATGCAACTTACTACAATTTGCACACAATTAATTTTTTATGTATTTTGTCTCCCTCTTTGAGTTTCAATATGAAATTTCAAGCAAAATCAAATATAATCTTCACCAAACTCCCTTAGAATTGATATATAAACTCCAAAAAATATTCTCAATCTTTATAACAATACTCAATCCAAACAAATAACAATTTTTGTAAAATTTTATTTTTTTAATTTAAAACTTCAAAGTATTTTAATGGCTAAAAGCTCTTAATGGATTTTAATTAGATTTATTATTTTGGATAAAATGATTGAGATCTTCTCTACAGTGTCTAAAGCATAATTCTTTAATTTAATAGCTTGAAGCCTTAGTTATTGATGATGTAAAGCAAAAGTTTCTAATTATATACATACTAGACGTGTGCAGGCCTGTGCCACCCAACATAAAGATGTTCTAAATTAGTTCTGACATTATTATGCGACTGTATACGAAGGAATAATATCAAATAGAGATGTTCTTGACATTGCTATGCTTCTCTCTTCTATTAAATCTTCTAAAGACATTTGTGATCTACAACATTTTAGTATTTAGCAATGCACGGTTGCATGAATGCTTTGAATAGGAGGTGATTCAGTATAAAAGTCTGGTGCATATAACCTGTAATCTACTTGTTAGATCTTCTTCAAAGCCATCCAATGGCTTTGTTTCCTATCAAACATAAAGAACATTTGGTTGAAGGTAGAGACGGCGAAAGACTATTTTTATAATAAGTGGAAGTACTTGCATATAGAATTACAAAAGGTCATGCTTTTCTGCAATGCTATTTTACAATACAATAAACCTTGCTGGATAAATAAATTCATTCATCAGCTCTGACTTCTTTTACCAGAAAGCCAGTACATTTGTACAATTTATGGGATAACTACTACTATTCAAATTCCAAATAAGAGCAAGATCTGTCGGCTATAATTTGAGGCAGGTCATATATTCCTCCAAATCCATCAAAAAACATATAGGATTAGAGGAGACAAAGTAGGACTTCCTTTATTTTTTCAAAGTTCTCTTATCTTCATTGCTTCTTCAGCTTTGAGCAAATAACTTTACACTGGTAAATGGAAAGACATGGAAGATATAATAGAATTACCAACTGAAAGAAAAAAAAATAAAACACACTTTTCTTTCCTGCATCTATTTAGCACAAGAGACGTGACACCGGCCTAAGAATAAAGCAACTTATCGAGCCCAAAGAAAAGCCAGTAAGTTACTTTTAAATGACATGCGAATGAACTGTACCTCTCTTCGAGGGTATTCAGACCAATCATTACAAGTGACCCATGCATGGGACATAAATCAAATACATATGATTCAAGCATACAACTTCTAGATATTCACAAACTACAAGTACTCTCCAATAACACTCATACTCGAGCTTCGTACTGTGTGTAAATTTTGCAAAAGACGTTCAACCACAACTTTTTATATCAACTAAAGGAAAAAATGATGCTAGATACACTAACAACTTTAGTAAAGTAAGGAATCACTTGCAAACTCCTGAGTAGGAGTTGATATGTTAGGATCGAAAAGTCAGGTGTTATGTGGAAGCTAGTAAAGCAAATGTTGAACAACGATAAACCACACATAACAAAGAGAAATCTGCCAAAAGAGACACAAACATTTAACGTGGTTCGGTCAACTGACCTACGTCCACGGCGGAGATGAGCAATCCACTATAATAAAAGAGAGTACAAAACATCGAGAGAACAACCTCACGAAGAGGCAAACACAAGTGACACACTAACACTTGTCCCGTAAAGTTCTCCCCCTAAACAAGACTCTCAAGCCCCCTATGGCTACATTGTGGATGCTACTGAATGTGAAAGAAGGATCCTCAATTTATAGAAGTTCAAACATTTCCCTACAAGAAAAAGGACTAGCCAAATATTGGAGATTTATAATTTCCTTTTACAAAAAGGAAAACCCAGTTAAGGTAATTATATTGCCCTTTTCCTTCAAAAGATAGGAAAACCAAATATGGTAAGAAAATTATGGCAAACACCTAACAATTCTCCCCCTTGGCCTGAATTTTCTGAGAAAATAAACTTGATCCACCTTCTTCACATAGCCTTCAACAGGTCGCATCTCCAGATCTCCGCCACAAAGTTTGTCTCAACGTGCGTAGCACTCGGGTCAAATTTCTCAGACAAAAAATCACGATTATCGTCAAATATGTTGCAGCTAGAACTGAACACGCCAAGATGAACCTGTCTTGAACCTCGCTCGAAGCTGGTTCTGATACCACTTGTTAAGATCGAAAAAGTCAGGTGTCATGCGGAAGCTAGTAAAGCAAACGTTGAACAACGATAAACCACACATAACAAAGAGAAATCTGCCAAAAGAGACACAAACATTTAACGTGGTTCGGTCAATTGACCTACGTCCACGGCGGAGATGAGCAATCCAATATAATAAAAGAGAGTACAAAACATCGAGAGAACAACCTCACGAAGAGGCAAACACAAGTGACACACTAACACTTGTCCCGTAAAGTTCTCCCCCTAAACAAGACTCTCAAGCCCCCTATGGCTACATTGTGGATGCTACTAAATGTGAAAGAAGGATCCTCAATTTATAGAAGTTCAAACCTTTTCCTACAAGAAAAAGGACTAGCCAAATATTGGAGATTTATAATTTCCTTTTACAAAAAGGAAAACCCAGTTAAAGTAATTATATTGCCCTTTTCCTTCAAGAGATAGGAAAACCAAATATGGTAAGAAAATTATGGCAAACGCCTAACAGTACATTCAGGACATTCCAGTGAGAGGAATGATGTACTACAGGGAGGCTCTTGAGCTTCAGTACTTCCTAGATTTTGCAGAGGACAACGGTGCTACTTGAATCTTATTGTTTCATTGTGTACTGATGTATACGTTAGACTGTGAGTTGGATGTGGTTGGTGCTAACTATCTACTCTTTACTTTGCAGCAACTTTTGGAGATTATCGGATCATTGATATGAATCAAAACAGATTACAAAGCACTGAAGGAGCGGGCACAGGCATTGGCAGATCTACCTGTATGCTAGCATAAGTGTACTCAAGATTATTGTTTTTTTATGAAGTAAGATGTTATATTATGCCATAAAGAAGATGCAAAGGAGTACAAAAAAATTAGTTTGCTCCTAATACAAAAAATTACTATATCTAGAGCAGGGAGTCAAACCAAGACAAAAAAACTTTGGCCTTTACACCAAGTAAGAGTGCTACTCAAGATTAAGTTTTTAGTGAAGGCAAACTTCTATCAATAAAATCTGTGAGAGAGCAGAAGCATATTGGCTTAAGTTTCGGACGAAAAACCAAAACACCAATTGATAGCATATTATATCTAAAACAAAAATGAGACCATAATAGTAAGGCTCTGAAAACCTTACACAAGACCAAAAAGTTTCCAAATTTCACTCCTATTCTTCACCTTAGCACATCTTGAATTCCTCAATCAACCATTGGATTGTTGATGTTGAAGATGCTAGCTATTTCTGATTCATGTTCCAAGAAAAGGGAGAATAACTGAAGACGGAAAAGTAAAACCTGCAGCTTGAAAAACAGAGAAGGTTGAATGATGCTTAGTTTGTATTTCAGAGACAGCAGATCCAAAAAAGAAAATGCATTAGCATCCAGAAAATAGAGAACATATTCATTTGAAGTTGAACTCCTTCGATTCAGTACGAAAAGCTACAAATATTACAACCACAAAATAACAAAAATTAAAACAATCATAAATCCACAATTTTGTATCCTAGGTTAAAATCATAAAATTCACTCATTAATAGGATTATAGTTTTCCATCTAAACTTACAAAATAATGAAAAGAAAATTTCCGTTCGACTATTGCTTCTCCGACATATAGACTTCTAATGTAACACTTCAGAAATTTAGATTGACAGGATGTTATATGGTGCTGGATTTATAGCGCAACTCAGTACCTGAAGATAGAAGACTATGAAATAGAGATTCTTAGTTTTTGTGTTTGCGAGTAAATGTGGTGGCTACACGGTTGAGAGACACGTTTAAAGTCTAATGTAAAATGACAAAAATATCCTAAACTTTTCCCAAAGGACTTGAAGCAGCCAGGTCGAAACCCTGGCTCTTTTATAATATAGTAAAACTTGAAACTGTAGCATCTAATTCTAACTGGATAGAAAGATTAGATCTCTAAAATTCTTTGGAGGCATGAGAAAGTGGAAAGATTGAAACCTATAATGGGAAACATTGGAGCATAATTCCCTTACTTTGTATACATTAATAAAGAGAATTTTACGAAATTGTCCTAAATTAGTCCTAATTTACCAACCTCTAACCTATAATCATATACTTATCAAAACTAACCAAGTACATATAAAAATTGAAAACCCAAATAAATTAGGATTCTTTCTCTCCAAAAATCACATGCAAAGATCTCCTTCCATATATTTACGCCTGATCAGCAACATTAGATGCAAGACGCAAAGGAAATTTCATGGATGAGGTAGCAAACAAGGTGATATATATATATATATATATATATATATATATATATATATATATATATATATACACACAAAATTCCAAAAATGAAAGCAAAAAGGGACCTTTTTCAATGGGTATAATTGAAATTTATTGAAAACATATAGATGAATAAATATACAAATTTGAGAAAGATTGGAGGTGATTTGGACTGACTTGGTATCAAAATTAGTAGTTAAAATCGAGTTTAAAAAAATCTCTATGACACATGTAGGGGTGTTTATGGACCGGTTTGGTTCGATTTTATCAAAATCAAACCAGACTAACTATATCGGTTTGGATTGGTTCGATTTTGTCGGATTTTTCGGATTTTCCGAGTTTGTTTTCCTTATATTGGTATTATTTTAATCTTGCTTTGTTAAATTTTTGATAAGTAAATATATGTTTAGTAAATATTAAAAATATTCACAAATATATATTCTATTAAAATATTCTTATGGAAGATTTTCCTTAGTAACACACGATAGTTATTTTTTAATTAGTCGTCCGATAATAATTTTAAGTTGATGTACACTTTCAAGGCTAACCAAATTTAATAATACAAAAATAATTGTGAACCTATATAATGATATGTTCTATCATACATCCTATTATTAAACGTTAATAGATATGGAGCACTTCATATTTAACTAAATATTACATTCCACAAGAGAATCACAAATTTTTTTTTGACATTTTTTTAAAGAAAATTCTATAAAAAGTTTTAAAAGTATACATAAAAATTATATATTTATATGTCGGTTTGGTTCAGGTTTTTTTACTCAATACCAAACCAAATCAAACCAAACCTAATCAGGTTTTTAATCGGTTTGGTTTGACTTTTTGGTTTGATGGGGTTTTCCGGTTCGGTTTGTACACCCCTAGGCACATGTATCAAACATATATCACGCGTGTATCTCACACACAAATATACATGGATACACATGTGATAAAAATATAATAATATGTGACACAAATGATACAAAGTGTGATACACATGTCATCTTCTACTTCGAATTTTCAGTTCAAACCACCTCCAAACTCTATCAAATCATTCCAAAATTATGATTTAAACTCCTTAAGATATATCCGACCTATTCCAAAAATACCCACTCAAAAAAATTGATATTTTTCTGGCTACAAAAGACTAATTGACTAATATTGATAATATTTTATGAATTAACTAATTTTTGTACTAACTTACCTATGAGCTGAAACAACTGGTAATTTTCCATTAATCAATATAGTCATATTAGGTGATTAAATTGGAACCTCCCCAATAGTAGTTATTACGTTTATAATTATGCATAGAAGCATGGGCTAGGAGCCACTAGCAGTGTTTTAAAAGGCTTTTCTGGGACTCGCCTCAAAACTCGCCCCAGGGCGGGGCACTATCAAAACGCCTTAAGACTTATGTTTAGGCTTAGTTCTATGAGACTTATGCCCCAAGCGCACGATTGTGCGCCCTAAATACACCTAACACTCAACGCTCAATGCTCGTAATGTCATTTAAGACTTGCACGCAAAATTTGGTGTCATTACGAATAGTATAAGTACGTTTCGGCACATTGGAAATAAATTCAAGAACTTGAAGTTCATAAGTTTGATTGAATTAGTTTTAGGGTGTACTTCTTAGTTTGAATGTTGTTTCGGGCATTCCGGGAGTTCGAGCGAGTCCGTTTTATGATTTCAAACTTGTTGGTATGTATGTGCAGGGCCCCGTGGGCCCAGAGCGTCAATCGGACGAGGCCCAGACCAAGTTGAAAGTTGGAGCAAGAGCTGAAGCTCCAACTGCTCTCATAACCGCACCTGCGGTTGGTTAGCAGCAGGTGCGAGACCGCAGAAGCGGACAACGCCTCGCAGATGCGGCCCAAGGATAGGAGCCTAGGTTCCGCAGATGCGACTCCTTTTCCGTAGAAGCGGGAGCCCGTCCGCAGAAGCGATCCCATTTGGCCCAGCCAATACCGCAGAAGCGAACACCGGTCCGCAGAAGCGGATCGGCAGGTGCGGCCTATGCACCGCATGTGCGAAAATCGCTGGGGCAGTGAGGTTCAATTAATACGGGACTTAAGCCATTTTCACTCATATTCTCTCACTCTTTGGGCGATTATTGGAGCTTTTTGAGAGAGATTTCCTCCTAGCTTTTGGAGGTAAGTAATTTCTACCTATTGTGTCACGACCCAAAATTCACTAAGGGTCGTGATGGTGACGGACACCACTGTTAGGCAAGCCAACACCAAATAATTAGTAATTTCTCGTTTTAATATTTTTGAAATCATTTCTTTTAAACATTAAACAATAAATAATAAACTTCACTGAATAAATAATGATGTCTTTACAAAATTTTATCTGCTGAACAGTCTCGTGATCATCCCAGAACCCGGTGTCACAAGTGCATGAGCAATTTCTAGGAAAAACAAGATGTAATACAATAACTGTCCGGAAAACAAAATGAACAGAAAGGAAAATACAATATAGTACTATGAAGGAGACTCTGCCGGCTGCGGGTCGTCTTGAGAGGTGCAGCTAACCTAAGTCTCCGTATCAAACATGCCGCTGCGCCTGACTAGGCCACTAGTCATACATATGCCTGTGCAACAAAAATGCACAGCAAGTATAGTATGAGTACAAAAATAACGTGTACCCAGTAAGTATCCCGTCTAATCTCGAATAAGTAGTGATGAGAGCTGGACTTTGACACTTACTAGTGGTCCAATAATATCATTATAGTAAAGAAGTGAATAAGTATGGAACAGAGCAATTATATGAAATAAATATGTTTAAAACACATAGTACCATCCCCCTTCTTCAAAATTTTACTCAAGCCTTCAGCTAGCAAGTTCCCTCCGTAACCAGAGCATATATGTACAATTATAAAGGTTTTCGTCAAGGAAGTTATCAGGATTCAAATCGGGAAAAATCCCTCAGATTCACTGGCTTCTTGCCAAGTGTTACGCGCGATTCCATAAGTATAATACATACATACATATATATATATATATATATATATATATATATATATATACATACAGAGAGAGAGAGAGAGAGAGAGAGAGAGAGAGAGAGAGAGAGAGAGAGAGAGAGAGAGGAAATGCCGAGGCGATCGGCCAGCTCCCATGAGAGTAGTAAAATGTAATACCCCGCTCGCGAATCGTACGTGCGACGCGGTCAAATATAATTTAAGGGACTTCTCCGCTCGCGAATCATACATGCGACGGGGTCAATTATAGATTTCTTAAGTTATTATGATATTTATCATTTCTTTTCGAAAATGTGAAGTTTAATGTAAACTCTTAAAATCTCAAATTCCTCAATTCAAATTTCTTTCAACCCAATTATTATGCAACCTTAATCTTGGTTCTTCTCAAGCAAACAATAACTATAAATTAACAATAATATCAATCAAGGCATGATGTAAACGTAAAACTACCCGGACATAGGCATAGCTAGTAGCTACTTACGGACCCTTGTCACCTCGTGCGTACGTAGCCCCCTCTAATGGAAGCACATATTTAATTATTTCACATATGGGGTTAATTTCCTCTTACAAGGTTAGAAAGGAGACTCACCTCGCTCCGAAGTTCCATACCGGCTTCCAAGCCCTTCCGACGACTCAAACCGATGCTCAACCCTCCAAAACTAGCGAATAGTTATGCAAGCCCATTAATATATGCTCAATTACCCATTATAATCCAATTTGTAACAATTTCTAACCCCGATTGAAAAGTCGATAAAAATCACCCTCAGGCCCACATGCCCGGATTCCGAAATTTTTCGAAGATAAAGTTTACCCATAACCTCACGAGCTCAAATATATAATTTACTCTCAATTTCATATCCAAATTCGTGGTCAAATCCAAGAATAATTTCTAGGTTTTCCTCAAAAGCCCAAATTTATATTAATTTTCGTGTTAAAACATATACATAATCCATGTATTTAACTCAAACTAGTATAAACCACTTACCTCATGCTTTGTGGTGAAAATGGCACTCCCAAGTTGCTCCAAAATCGGCTCCCATTAAAGAAATGGAGTGAAAATGATCCAAACCCTGATTTTAAAGAAACCTCACTGCCTCCAGCCTTTTCGCACCTGCAGTCACGCGACCGCTTTTGCGGTCCCGCAGGTGCAGACCAAGTACTGTTTCTACGGCACAGGGCTCCCAGCCCATACCCGCTTCTGCGCCTTCTCTTCTGCAGGTGCGGTCCCGCTTCTTTCGAGAGATGACCGCATCTGCGGTCCCAACTCTTTCCCACCAAAATCTCAGATGTGACCACAGGGCCGCTTTTGCGGCTCCGCACCTGCGGCCCAAGCCTCGCAGGTGCGGTTACACCAGAAGGCAGCTGCTGAATTCTTCTTCTAACTCCAAATTCGATCCATTAATCACCCTGAATCCACCCGAGGCCCCCAGGACCTCATCCAATCACACAAACCG